GCATTCTAAACACGAAAAAATAACTCATGTGTCTATCCAAATAGTCCTTCCTATCCTTGCTTCCCTGGGAAATTTGCCTCCTATTTTATACATTATGTAACTGTATCTGTTGAAAAAATGAAGAACGTTAAGAACTTGGAGCTTGAGGGGATTTCCAGTAGTAAGCCTAAGAAGATACTGGTGGTCTGCCTTTTTACAATCTGCCCAAGCTCAGGTGAGCCCCGGTTCTTTCTAAGAAAGAGTTGTGTGAAGATCTGAGGTTGAGGGAGAAAACACACAAAGGCACACCTGGAATATGGATTCCTTGCGATCCTTCACCCCACGCTTCTTCTTGGAAGAAGAAGTACGCCATTCTGGCGTCAGCTCACTTTTACATTGTTGAAGAAAATATTCATTCCTTCTGTCCTGTCCCTGCGGCCACAGTGCTGTTCACTCCTGTCTAACAATTTATCTTGAAGCTATTGGTTATGCTCAAAGAAATCACATGTATGGAAGGATGAATGTAGACTTTTACTAATACAGGACAGACACCAAAAGGAATGCAACAGATTAAAATAACAAATGAGAACTACCCCTAATAAGGTCTGTCGGTTCAGCTTGTGCACCTTGACAGAATAATATCATATCTTGGCAAGGTCAGATTTGCATTTTGTAGAAGACTTCCTGTTTTCTTATTTTCTGTCTGTAGTACACAAACAGAAGGATATAAGGGATCTACAGAAATCATTGTTTTTCTCTTGGACTCTCAGAGAAGGACCATACTAAAGGTCAATTCTAATTCTTTTCAGGAAATGTGATTTTGTTGCAGTCCTCAGTCCTCTTATGTATCTGCTCTGGTCTGAATGTTTGTGTTCCCCTAAATTCATATGTTGAAATCCTGACTCCAAAGGTGATGGTATTAAGAGGTGGGGCCTTTGGAAGGTGATTGGGTCATGAGGATGTCACCCTTGTGATTGGTATTAGTGCCCTTCTGAAACAGGCCAGAAAAACGCCCTCGCCTCTTCCACTATATGAAGATATACCAGCTGTGAACCAGAAGGTGGGTTCTCACCAGACACCAAATTTGCTGGCACCTTATCTTGGCCTTCCCAGCCTCCGGAGCTGTGAGCAGTACATTTCTGCTGTTGATGATATCATATGTCTATGATATGTGTTACAGCAGCCTGAGTCAACTGAGACAGTATCTTAGTAAAGCATGTAGTCATAGCAAACATTTATTGAGCATCTTAGACTGGCTACTAAGTATTTTACACACAATATTTCATATAATATTTACACCAACCCTAAGCGGTATTATCTAAGATAAGGAAACTGAGGCTTAAAAGCTTGCGTAGTATCTTTGTGCTAATAATAAGCAGAGTTGGGATTGCAGCTGGCAGTCCTAGCCAGAGCCCATGCTTTTAACTACTGCTCTGCACTGGGAAAGACCAACTTTCTGTGTCCTGAAGATACCTAAATAAAATGATCCGTGCAGTTCCCTTCTTAGGTCTGCATCATAGAGTAAGGCAGTAATGGGTGCTCAAATCCAGAGCATCAGTTCCATACATATTTAGTAAGGGCCTTTCAGGGCCTGGACCCTGCACAGGGTGCTCAGAATACACTGGGGTGAAACAGACAAGTCCCTGCTGTCAACGGGCTTGACCAGTGGAAGGATCATGGGTTAATCACACAATCTTTATACAGATCTGTAGTCACAAGCAGAGATAAATGCTGGGAAGTAGAAGGAAGGGGGACAACGTCCCTCTCCTCTGACCCCAATGGGAAAATATCTGTTTCCCATTAGATATTTTTACCTCCTCTTCCCTTTTCTACCAACTGCTATTTTAGTAGGTAAAGAGGGAGGGTCCCTCAGTACTAGGAGGGGTAGCTGCCCTTTCACGTTTGTACTGCAGAGATTTAATTAAGTAGAGAATAAATGAGAGAAGAATTAGATAAGGGGTATTGGGTGAATCAAAGTAGGTAAACTTAATTATTTAAATATATTTAGTTTGGCTTTAATTTATTCTCTGCAAAGACCATCCATCATGGACGCTCTTTCTTTTCCAATTAATAAAAAACTAACATCGACATACTGCTTTGCAGTGTGCAAGGCCGTTTCAAATCTCATCAAGGCATTGCAGCAATATTTCAAGAAGAGTGTCATTGTCACCTTTTTTACAGAAGGAGAAGCTGAGCCAATGAGAAGTTAAGTCCCTTCCACAGAATCGTTCATTCCAGGAAGTGATGAGCCTGGAATTCACTTCCGCCGATGCGTATTCCCCTGACTTTTCCTTTGTTCAGTGCAGGGACCATTATTTCCATGGTCATGGTTACTAAATCCTTCTCATAGTGATTTTTTTTTAGTGTTTGCATTTTTTTATGGGCTGCATGTAAAAGGAAGCCCTCCATCTTCACGAAATTGTGTATAAAACATGCAGCGGAGGCAAACGTAGAGGAAACAGTGGGAGGAAATAGCATTTAGCAGGTTTTTCTCTTTCGGAAAACTTTTTGGCGGTGTTTTTGTAACAGCCAAGTATGAAATAAAAGGGGAGAAGCTGCAGGTGGGCGTCCGGGGCAGGGAGAGGAGGAACAGGTGTGAGGATGGCTGGGGTCAGCTCCATCCACCCACGGCACCCCAGAGCCCAGCTTGGTCCTTGAGAAGCCCCTGCAGGGGAAGGACCGTGTTCTCCACATTTCTTCTGTGCGGGTCTCCACTTAAACGCCAATCCCTGGACTCACTGGAGCCTCTGCTTCCTGCCTGGTAAGCACCCAGCACCAGGCACCTCACCGTCCATCACCTGTCACACTTTATTACAATTACTTATGTTCTTCCCTCCCCAGACACCTGTGCTGTCCTCTTCAGAGGTGTGCTCCTTGGTGCCTGACACATAGCAAGTGGCCAATAAATGTTTCATGAGTGAACTTTCAAGAAACAATAAAATTCCCAAGTTCCAGAATAAATTGTCTGTTATTGGGGGTGCTGTTTGAATGAAAAAATTAGTTTTCAGGTCATGAGATACCTTCCCTCTAATAGTCTAATCATTTCTGTGACATTTCACTGCCTGATCCACATTTGATCTAAGCTACTTAATGTCTTCACCCTCTTTTCTTGCTGAAACATTTTTTTCCGCACAGGTCATAGAAGACGGATTGGTGTAATCATGAAAACTGAAACCTCATTCTCTCAAGGATAGGTTGATGTGCTAACATTGGTGCCAAGTACAGGGAAGAGATGCAAACTGCCCCTCTGCAGGGAGTCCAGAGGGGGCAAGTCCTACCCATGCCCATAACAGGAGTGAGATATCTTAAATGCTGAAGTAAACGTGTTTAACGATGGTTCTGATGCAAGGGGAGAGCTTCTATCTGCCTGGGAAATCAGGGAGACAGCACCAGGCAGGTGGGACTTCTTATACTGGGCACTGAAGCATGGGTAGGGGTTCACCAGGCAGAGGGGAGTGGACTGGGGTCAGAGTGGAAGAGCTCTCTGGGCAGATGCAGCTTTGTGTGCGAAGGCAGGGGGGCCAGGAAGCAACACATCTTTATGGTTTTGCTGCTGTGCATCTACTAAATGTGCAGAAGGAGGCTGAAAAGTTGAACTAGGGCTGGATCCTAATTGGCTTAGCTAGCTTCCTGTGGAGTAGATTTTTTCGGTAGGCAATGAGGAATCACTGAAAAATACTGAGTGAAGGGCAGTCGTGATTGATTTGCCTTTTATGGGAAGAGGACCACTCTTTTGTAATGTGGAGGGTGAATCGTGGAGTCTGTGGAGTGGGGAGGGATATGGAGTTTGCAAGATCTTCCCACTATGAAGCTATTAACAGTAGCCCCGGAACAAGGCAGTGGATGCTTGACCCAGTACGATGCAATGAAAGGAAGGGACAAATTGGAGATGCATTGAAAGATGCATCAGTAACACATTAGGACCAGCTGACTGTGGGGATGACGGACAGGGAACAGCCCAGGACAGTCTGGCTCAGAGCCCTGGGTACCAGTCACCAAGAAGGGGCTGTGTTGAACCGTCTCATACCAAAAGCTTAAAAAAATGGCCCGGCATATAGAAAAGTACCCTTGCGGCACCCCCTGCCTATGCATTATTTTCCTTTCTAAAGAAGAGGAAACTAACACAGTGCTCAGAGATGTTAAGTAACTTAGCCAAGGCCACACAGCTCATCCCTGGCAGGACCAGGATTCAAATCCAGGTCTGCCCAGCTTGAAGCCCATGCTGTGAGGAGGTGCTCTACCCGCGGGGGAGGGGCTGCCCCACGTGACAGATGCACTGGCTGGTGAGGAGCCTCTTGCAAGCCTGGTGGGCACCGAAGGAGAGAAGAGAGCGCCATGGCTTTCCAGGGTAACGGGGGGGGGGGCCTTTGCATTTAATTTTTTAGATTTTATTTATTTATCGATTTATTTTTTTTGCGGTACGTGGACCTCTCACTGCTGTGGCCTCTCCCGTTGCAGAGCACAGGTCCGGATGTGCAGGCTCAGTGGCCATGGCTCACGGGCCCAGCCGCTCCGCGGCATGTGGGATCTTCCCGGACTGGGGCACGAACCCGTGTCCCTTGCATTGGCAGGCGGACTCAACCACTGCGCCACCAGGGAAGCCCTGTCTACTACCTTTTGAATAAATAAACATTAAATAAACATTAAGAAATACAGTTTTTATGTGATTATTATTATATTTAATTCAAAAGAGGCAACACATGTTTAATGCTACATCTTATAAAAATCCTAAACTGAATTTTAGAAAAGGTGATGTTAATGTATTTTCATAAATATGCACAATTTGTTTCAAATGTACCCCCCCCCCATAGCCAATCCCTTGTCAAAATCCATGCTTGTACGTTCACAGGCTAGGTTTCTGGGGAGCCATCAGGTGCTTGGATGCCCGTTGGCAGGAGTGATCACAGGACACTGCGTCCACCAGCTGGACCTCAGGGACACCTGCTAAGCGTTTTCTAGATGCGATCCTGCCCTTCTGCACCCAGGCGTGGAGTGACTTGGCTCTCTGATCTTTTGCTCAGGAACCCTGGAGCACGCAGCACATCCCAGCACTGTTCTCTGCCTTCTGTGGCCTCTTGGTTGCGCTTTCCTACCATCTGAGCAGACAGAGCAGCGACCCCTCTGTGCTCCTGTGAGTAACGCGGACACACACGCCACACACAGACACACACACAGACACACACACCACACACACAC